TTGCTGGGCCGCTCATATCGGCGAATCGCGTTATCGCTCTCAGATTTCATATTGTGCGAGCCGATCGAGCTCGCACAGAAGTAAGTTCAGTTCGAGCCTGGAGTGCGACGAGCGAGCACGCGATATCGCCACGAGAGACCGCGGACCGGCGCACCAAAAAATAAATAGTTTCCGTTGCCGTTACGGGGGAACTCGAAGGCCTCGTACACAACACTAATAAAGAATAGAAATAAGAAAAGTAATAAATAATTGATTTTTTATTTGTTGCACCTTCCTTTCTTTTTTCTCTAATTTAGAAATGAATAAATTATATTCAACGAATATTTATGTTTATTTAATATTCGGATTATTAAATAATTAAAATATATTTGGAAAACGTTGTCTGCTGATTGAAATTGTGTGTAGAATATCGCATGTATTTATTTATATGGATTTATACGCATTATATTTATATGCTGTAATCTTGAAGCAAAATGTTAGTAATTTGCGGACTAATTGGTAGCAAACTAAATCAGATTTTGATTACAAAACTGTAGCCATTTGTGTCCGCATTTGGCTACAGATCTGTCGACAGAGCCTGCTGACATGTTCTGCCAGCAGATTGGCGTACTAGAAACTAAACAGGATCTGCACCACTGGAAATCTAATGGCAGATTGGTAGTAGAAACCGAACAGAAGCTGCAAAATCCTACTCGGTTTTTTGCCGTTAATCTGCTGGCAAAGCATGTCAGCTGGTTTTTAACAGCAGTTTGTTGAATTGTCAGATAGTACAAACTTTGTATGCAATTTGTTGCCTTTCCGCAATCAAAAATTGATAGCATGCTTAAAATCTGTCTTCGTAGCCATTGCTAATGGGATATATTTATATGTATTTGTATACAAGGAACACTTATAGGGTGAGAGCAAATTTAATTTGAAATTGTCTTATGTAAATAATATATTTTCAAAATTATACGTTTTGTTCTAATTATTACAAAATTATAAAGTTGCAACGCTGTTTTTCAAATAACTAATATTTACTATTCTTGAGTCTCTAGAGAGGAAAAACGCGCGTTCCTCGAATATGCCCTGATATGCGCGCAACATCGGTGAGTAGGCATTCCTGTTCTTGTGTATGCATATAATTGCAGATATAAGATAAAGATGTAATTATATATTTTAATCTTACAATTAGTATGCTTTAGATTAATTTTTTGTAATTAGCTAAAAGTAAATATTTAATCATACTGCTTGTGGAATGCAACACACATCTGGAAACGTATAATTGATTAACTAATTAATTACATGATGATAAAATTTAAATTATAAAATATCATAGAAAGCGAGATTGGCAATTCGAGGTCGATATTCAAAGCGTACATTCTATGCGCAAAAATAAAAATATACAATCAACAGCTGTGCACATATGTATAATATACACAATATATATAATATATAATCATAACACACTTTTACAAAGTATAAGTCGTTTATTAAAATGTTTGTGTGTACATTATATCTATATCAAATTTTTGTCAATGTATTGTGCATTTAATATAAAAGGTATCTTATATCAGGAGACGCGGTAGTGGTTCCGATCATGTTCAAAAATCAAAAAAATAAGAAATAAGAGACACTACAAGTCTCTTATCCTGTACCACCAAAGTCCATTTTTGGAGATTGCATAACTAATAAAATATAAAAAATTTTGAATCGGACTTTTTTACGCCCTATCTCACTTTCTTTCGTCCTCTTTCGCTCTCTTTGTTGGTCATTTCTCACCCTCGCCTGCTGAAAGTGACCGATGGTCAGTCAGGGTCGTAATCTTGACAATGTTAATATGTGGGAGGGTCAGGGTCGTCGGAGGTGAATTGTCCATTTTAATTTTAATAGTTTTTCACATTTTTTTAATCCATAAGCCCTCGGTGTGTTGCCATCTGTGGTAAGGAATCTTTTATAAGTGAATTCATCAATGTAACTTTTCTTCTTCCATCTGATAAGAAGGGCACGTAGTCTTGAGTTAATTTTTTAGAAGGATCTTTTTCAATTTTTTGATAAGTGGCACTATCTGAGAAGATAGTTTTTGGCTCGTAGCCCTCTAATGTGATAGTAATTTATAATTTATTGAGCCTTATCACTCTTATTATTTAATATACGCGGGCGAAATGAAGCGTTACAATCATAACCATTTTACTTTTACTTTTTCATTTGTTAGACGTCATTTAGGTATTAATTCTTGTAATCTACTTAAACAGTTGTGCAATTTGATCAAAAAAAGTGTTAACATTAAAGTACGAATTAAATTTTTAAGAGCGTGCATTAGACATGAAATCGTTCCGCCACACTTACGTAGACTCACAAAATGTGAAGATATTCTGTTTTACAACATTAACTCATTCAAAAGACTTGAGACAATACAACGTAATCATGTAAAAGCAATTATGCGATTGGAGTTAAAAGATGCGTACCATAATCAAAGATTTAATACTATCGACATTTTTAATATTTCTAACATAGTTTTTGACAACATACCAACTTTCATAGAATGTGAATTCTTCAAATATTTAGACAGTTTCAAAAACGCATATTTTTGTGAACAAATGAATAGAATCAACAATATCTAAAAAAAGGCTTGAAAGAATCTAATATGAATAGAATCAATAACAAAATTGATTGGTTAATAACTAAAAAAGACAAATCTGTTCGTAGTAGTGTGAATCCAATTTCTTATTTAGCTTCTTCCTCTAATAATAACACACTAAACATTCTTAATAATAATCAGAATAATATTGAACCAATTACTTTATATAATTCAAATAATTGGGATGGTGAGACGGTTGTTGATGTTGAAGGGATTCACATTCTTCCGGATGAGTTTCATAATGCCTCTTCTATTGACAATGTACAAGATAAGTGGTTTATCAATTTGGGTAGCATTGACATTCCTTTATATGTTCAATTATTATTACAATTAGGTAAAAAATTCGGGCTACCTATTAACGCTGTTAACAAAGATAAAACTCTAATAGAGTTTATTAAACAGATAGAAAACAATATTGTTGGTCGCCCAAATAATATTGTCAGATTTGTCAGAAATAATTCTATACCAATTCTCAACAGATTTAATAGCAAATTTCCATCCTTAAATCCGAATGAGAAACTTATTACCTCATGGGTAAACACAACTAAAAAATTCATTAAAGAACATCCAGATATTCTTATAACTAATGCTGACAAGGGTAATGTCACGGTTGCCTTGGATAAAACCGCTTATGTACATAAAATGGAAGAAATCTTCTCAGATAGTGCCACTTATCAAAACATTGAAAAAGATCCTTCTAAAAAATTAACTCAAGACTCACGTGCCCTTCTTACCAGATGGAAGAAGAAAAGTTACATTGATGAATTCACTTATAAAAGATTGCTTACCACAGATGGCAACACACCGAGGGCTTATGGATTAAAAAAAATCCATAAGCAGGGGAATCCATTGAGAGTTATAGTGTCATCCATTAATAGTCCGTTGTACTGTCTATCTTTATATTTGCATAATGTAATTAAAAACAATTTTTATAACGTTTCGTTTTATAATATAATAATTCGTAATTTACAGTATTATTAATACAGTTGAAATGCGAAAAGTATTAGATTTTAATTCCATTAGCTCCTAGCCATATCAAAGATAGCTTTCATTTAGTCGACAAACTAAATGGACTACATTTTAATGGACTAATTCCAATTATGTTTTAACTTCTTTTGATGTGATATCTCTTTTTACTAATGTTCCTGTGGGTCTGGCGATAGACAGTATAAAAAAGAGATGGAATTATATATCATGTAAAACTAATATTCCACAAGACGAATTTATAATTGCGGTTAATCTTATCTTGAATTCTACTTTTTTCTCCTTTAATAATAAGTTTTACAAACAGATTTTTGATACTCCAATGGGTTCTCCTATGTCGCCAATAATTGCTGACATAGTGATGCAAGATTTGGAAGAGTCAGCAATTAATAAATTACTCATAAAACCATTATTCTATCACAGATATGTCGATGACATTATCTTGGCTCTTCCATCTGATAGTATTGATGACACTTTAAATATACTTAATTCTTTACATAACAGACTGCAATTTACTATGGAAATTGGTAGTGAAAATGGTTTAAATTCTCTAGACACACGAGTTATTAT